CCCCAAAACCCCAAAACCCCAAAACCCCAAAACCCCGAGGCAGATTGAGAGATAAAGAATATTAAGAATTTGTATTGGCAAATGGGAATACGGGAGAGCGGGACTGGGCGGAAGGCTGGTTTCTCCAGGTGGAGATGTTCAGGCGGTCACTTGTCTGCTGTAGAGAGGTGAAGGGGAGTGGGTGAGGGATCGGTGGTTTAGAAAAGTGATTTGAGGTTTAAGAAGGAAATTTTGTGTTTTTTTATTTTGGGGGAAGTAAACCGTGGCAGACGTACCTGGTGATTTGGTCTCACTATATTCCTTATTCTATTGGTAAGCAATTGTCCATTCTTTCTAAAAGGATAAATAAGTTTATTACTGTTGTCTCTTTCTCTTCTTCAATCGATTATGGGCTTTTAAGTTGACTCTTCTCTTATGATTTCTGTACTTTTTCGGCTTGTTTCGATGTTGTGTTAGGTCCTTCAAAATCTCTTTAGAATCCAATGGCTCTTTAGATACACGCTTACAAAGAACAAAGCTGGTAAGTTTGTAGATCTATATATAAAGTAGCTGTACTTACAACTTGAAATATTTTAGAAGAACCTCTAAATAGTTTTACTAGGAGATACATCCAGTTGATAATAAAATGAGTGTTTATACAGATTCAGAACAAGAGAGCAACTGTGTTCAAAACTTTCATTTCATCTGGCTGAGAATATAATAAGCCGCTGAAGATGGTAATAATCCCTGCACTAGTTGCCAAGATTTCTATTTTGTTATTTTCAACATCATTGTATGGCTGAAGCTTGATCTGCAACCGAGCAAGGATGGTTAAAATCATGATTGCAACCATCATTTTAATTAGTGTCGGTAATGGGAAAATCACCAAGATCAAGATCTTCCTTGCAGTGTTGACGAATTCCCAATAAAACTTATCTTTCTTGAGGCCTTGGTATAAAATCAAGAAATACTGTTTGATTCTATTATCTTCTTGTTTCTTAGAGTTGTAGAAAAGTATTACAAGAGCAGTCAAAGGTAGAGACACAACCCACACAATAATGCATGGTCCTGATATCAACAATAGCCATTTGATGTGTTCACCAGAATAGCATTTGATGTTGGTATCCATTCTGACTCTGCTGTCGTCTACATTGACATCAATGCACCTGAATAAACCCAGACTCTGTTCAGTCAATTTGGGGTGAAGTAAGAACAATATACTAATGAAGGATATAATCAGATTTCGCTTCAGATCTTTGACATACTTTCTTTTCAAAAAGTGTACTGCAATCCAAATAAAAGCAACCAATAAAAATAAAACAAGAGGAAGCAATATCAATAAGAAGAGTTTGAAAATAGCATTTGATCCAAAGGGGCCTTCGATGTCATAATCTCTAATAAATCAGTCTACAGATAAGAAAGTATCTGAAGCATCTCCAAACATTTTTGGAATCTCGAAGAAAGCCATTAGCGAAGTGGGATAGTTAGTAGTCAACGATAGAGAGGTGAAAATCATCTGAAAGTAATTAGTCATGATTCTTAGCAGAACTGACAGCTGACTTTCCTTTGTTTTTCTAATGTTAATAATTATGAGAGCCATCATGAATATAAATGTAAGCAAAGCTAGTCCCACAACCAAGAATGTGTTTGCGATCATAGCTGGACATTTATCACATTTTACATTGCTTACTTTTCTGTATTTTACCATCTCATTAACTAGTCAGTGAGAACATAGTTCTCCCTGATATCCTTCAGCTCAATTTACTGGGTTCAAAGTAGAGTTTGTGAATCCTCCTTCTCACGACTCTTTGACCAGTCATTCAGTGATAAATTCAGATGTCTGAGATGATCTCCAGTACCCTGGATCGACACTAACTTGGTTCCTTCCCAATCACAAAGCATTGTCCATGCATTTGATGCACTCAGTAGAATTCCATTCAAGAGAGTATGTGCCAGCATCACATTCCCTGCAAGTTCCTTGATCTGTGGCTTCTTCTCCAGGTTGGCAAAATCTGAAGTTGACTGTGATGTCATTATTGAAATCCTGATCTGGAAATGCCAGTGACACCCTTCCTTTGTCAATTGCTGCAGTAGAGCTATCAAACTTCATATTCTTGGAGCCTGGTTGGTCCACAAACATAATTCCTTCGATTATGGCAATTCCTGCATTAAAGTTTACAGAGTTGACTCCTTTAACTGTGGCATTTGATCCAATAGGTGCAAATATTCCAAATGTGTCTTCGCTGTTCAAGCTTACAACTTGGTTGTCAAAGTCGAGCAATGCAAACACAAGAGAAGATGACATTGCTACTCCAGACCCAACATCTGTGAACTTGATGTAAGAATCAGGCTGGCCTTCTATTCTGACTTTGACTGGATAACTTGCAAGATTGTCTCCATATTTGGCTGAATTGTCAGTAAACACTGAATCCACAATATCTGGACGTTTCAGACTGTAGTAGATGGCTCCACCTTTCACAGATGCACTATTATTGCTGAAAATGGTGTTCTCTAAAATAAGGCTGCATTTATCTGTGGAGTCTCATTCGAACGCAATAGCTCCGGCTCTGTCTGCCGTATTGTTGGAGAATGTGGTGTTTCTTATAGTTACATCACTATTAAACATCGAGATTGCTCCTCCAGATACCAAATTGTTTTGGATTCCATTGCTTGTGAAACTTGAGTTCTCAAGTCGTTTAATGTGAGAATCAATTGCTATTATTGATTTTAGACAGCTGGAAATTTGAATATTGTTGATTGACTCAGCCACAGAGTTCATAACTGAAACTGCTGCTGTTTGGATTCCACTGATAACAAGTGTGTCTACATATATGTTTTGAGCATTCTCAATCAGAATAACTTGATCTGAATTTGTTTCTAACTCTAAGAAAGTTACATTACTTAAAGATACAGCATCTAATGAATAAAATTGAAAAAGAGTGCTAAAGTTAGAGACATTTCGAGCCACAAAGTTAGTCAGACTAGCTTCTCCAGCTAGTGCTTTAATAAATTTGGCATTTGAATTATTGTATGTAACATTGCTTGCGATAAATTTGGATTCGTCATTGATCAATAATATTTCTCTGTCAGTACCGTCTTGAATGTTGTTGAGATTTAAGTCATAACATTCCAATGTTGAAGAAGTAGCTTTAATTGGAGTGATTGTAAAATTTATATCTCTTATGAGTGAATCTTCGATTGTTCATGCACTCATATACAGATTTAATACTCCATTCTGATTGTAAATTTGTGTTTGATTCAGAATTTCAATGGATCCTGAAACAGCTTCTAATATATAGGATCCTTCAGCGATGTTATGCTCTTGATTTGTAAAAATATATTCAATAAGACTTTGAGATGCAAATCATAATTTTGATCAACTCTCAGTGGCTTCCCGCTCAAACTCTTGAGAAGTCATGATAGAGTTATTGTGTATTTTGCAATTATCAAAAATACTGGTCTGAGAAGCATCAAAGATCTGTCCAATGGGTGTTTGGATAGCAATGTTTCCAAAAATATCTGAGCCATAGAACTTGAAGTACCCATTGCTTGAGACTGAAACAACTCCGTTGGTTACTCCAAAGTTGTTCGTAATCAATCAAGAGTTTCATTCGAGATAAGCTCCTGATGATATTGTAAACAGAGTTGAGGTCACTGCAGCGTTATCTGTAAAGTTGCAATATGAGAATTTAGCGATTGAATTAGAGCTTGCCTCAATAACACCTGCTCTATCAAAAGAGACTGAAATAGAACTGAAACTACTACCAATGAAATTAATGACAGCTTTCTCAAAAAATTTAAAGAATGATTGAGAAGGTGACGCAATATTTTCAAAAGTGCAATTTTTGAAAGTCACTCCATTTGTCAGGTTTCTCTCTAAACCTGAGCTTGAGGCTGAGATAGAAGCAGAATTGAGGCTTGTGAAAATTGAATCTTCAACAACTACAGTATTTATTAGACCGTGTTGAAATAGTAATATGCTTCCTGTATCACCGAATGTAATGTTTGATGCATAAAATCTATTGAGCTTCACATAAAAACTAGCATCATTTTCAAGATTTTTGGTTGATATCACAGATCGAGTGCTAGAAAACATGGAGTCCTGGACTCTAATATTGCTCATCTCCAGTTGAGTAGATACATTATTGGTATTTATCAAAGATCCAAACTTGATCAAAGATATTTGACTGTCGGTGATATTAATATTATTCAAAGTAGAATTCAAACCAGATTGTAAATCAAGTGCATTGAAATTGAAGATAGTGGAATCTTCATCACTTTCGACGCTCACTTTGATACCATTAATTTTGAAATCTTCAAAAAGGAAACTTCTAATAACGTTGAGCTCAAATATAGAAATTTCAGAATTAGCAATACTGTTTTGAAATATGACATCACTCATTTCAACTCGATCTAAGCTACTTACAATGCTTAGGATGCCTCCATTTGAAAAGTGAAAGTCATTTACTTCCAAACTTTGAATCTTTATCGGGGCAGATGGAAAAGTGTTGATGTAGATAAATGATAAACTCTCGCTTCCAAGGCCAGTAACATTTTCAAGTTTGAGGTTACTTAATCCAATTTCAGCTACAAACATAATGGAGATGAAATATTCAGTAAATGAGCCAATGTTTTGAAACATAGTTTGCTCAGAAGTTAGGCTCCCAAATATTACATTTTTGAACACAACTATTTTCATTGCATCAGAGAGGAGACTTGAGTTTTTCACACTAAAACTATTTATTTCAAGAGTGTCAGAAATAGTCCCAAGGAATATAACAGGAGTAAATAAGGTATTTTGATATCCAAATAAGTTGATGTTAGTAAATTTGATATGTACTGGTCTGTAATGATTATTTGAAGCATCTACCCCTAATACACTGACTTTATCTCCTCTTGAATTGTCCACAGAGAAGTAAAAATTTTCAAAAGTCCCTATCTGAATCAGATCATCATCAGGCATGCAAATAGATTGAGACGCATACATAAAAGTTGCATGAAGGTTGTTCAATGCTGAATAGAAGTTTTCAGCATAGAAATTTTTAACAGTCCAGTTTCCAGGCAAACTAGCTGCTAAGTTTGAAGGCTCTATTTCCATTGTCCTATCACGAGAAGTAGTAAATCTAAGTCCATCAATATCGATTGAAGAAACCTTATTGGCTTCTGGATAGTTTCAAGAGATTGTGAAGACCAGAATATCCCTAATGCTGTAAGTATCAAACTCCAAGTTCCTTATGTACCTAAAAGATATTAATTCTACCTTACAAATGAAATGGATCGTAGGTTATCCAAAAAGTTCCAGTTACGTTAATCATCATGTTTGCTAAATATAAAAGTAAATAATTTGAAAGAAAAATTTGTTTTGAAAAGTAAAGGAAAAATCTTTAAAATGTAAAATACTATAGAGAAAGTTAATTTAACCTTACAAAAGCTTGCAGTGTTGTTTTGAAGGTAGACTCCAAGCATAAACAGAACATCCTTGTTATAGTCTATTTCTTCTCTGTAAAAATCAACTCCTTCAAACTTGATTCCTGACCTGACAACCATGTTGCTTGTTTTCCCTTCAATTTGCAATTTTTCATTTGATGAAAATTCTCCTGCACTAATGATGTCATCAAGAGGGAGCTCAACGGATTCGAGCAAGTGGAACTTTGACTTCTTGCTAATGCCAATCTGAGGCAATTCAGTTGGAGTTACAACCGCTTTCGTATTAGTTTTAACTAAATCTGGGTGACTCTGGATTGCAAATTGTGTCACGTTCATGATGAACAGAGATTTATCCTCAATGTAAGCATCTTTAACATATGCAGTAATGCTCACTTCTTGATGGGAGAGAAATGTCAGAACTTCTGAGCTCACTGATTTCATAGTTCTGTATGGATAGTGTAAAGTTCCAAGCTCCAATACTTCAGTACTCAAAGGATCAACATAATAATCAGGAGTTCTGCATGCACTCTGTACAGACAAGTGATGCCCTTCAAGCTTAATCTGAGATGACTGGCAATCAGTTACACATGTCAGAGTGTCAAGATCAAGGCTTTCACCAATACTTCAAATAACTCAAGCTTTCCTAGAGTTGCAGTGACCTTCACATGTATCCATTCAATTTCTACAGATCTTCAAAGTTTGGTCGAAATATTCATCTTCAGATCAGTGAGTGCAGAGCAAAGTAGTATCATCGAACTTCATAAAGGATTCTCAGCTATCACACTTGAACGCATCAGAACAAGTCTTGCATGAACTGTCACATGGCATGCAGCCCTTGTTATAATCATAATGTCCTTCTGGACATCATATCATGCTTGCGATAAATCAGATAGAAATGACGATGAACCTTGTTTTCAAATATTTGATCATAAATTTCTATTCAAAATTAGTAAAAGAAGTATTGCCAACTTTATAATAAATTGGAATATATCAAATCTCCTAAAATTTCAAACTTTTATAAAACTTTAACATAAGGTTAAAATCCTTTTCAGTTAATATTTTCCGGAGCTGCAAGAGCAATAATAAAATTCTTTTATAAGTTTGGATACAAGTGGGAATATTTATATTCCCCTTCGGCTAAATTCCCATCCCAAAATCCCAAAAATCTTTTCTAATTCTGCAAGAAGTCCATCAAGGAAAAGATTGGTGGTAACTGCGAAGATGGGAGTCTGAATGGAGGGGATGAAAATTTTAGAGGAAGAGGGAGAGAGGTGGGGTAGAGGAGGTGAGGGGGAGGGGAGAGGAAGGGGGTGAGGAGAGGTTGTTTATTTATGGAGTGGTGGGTACTTACTTTGGGAATATGTAAGGAATTCATGATGATATTAATTTTATAGTACCTTTTGCTACTTATGGGGTTTTGGGGTTTTGGGGTTTTGGGGTTTTGGGGTTTTGGGGTTTTGGGG